ATCCTGAGAGACAGCATAAGCAAGGCAGATTTCATGAGGCTTTTCACTGAGCCATCTGTCTTCTTTAAAATCAGCTTGGTTTTTTCCTCGGCTCATGAGCAAATCTTGATTGCTATATTCCAGGGATGTCCAACCAGTAGATCGCGATCTACCGGTAGATCCTTGGCTGATCCTGGTAGATCGCGGGATCCTTATTGTGTACAAAAAGTTATGGGGGGAAGCTAAAAATCCTCCCCCCAAAAAAGCTCAACAACTCTGGGCAATCCACCCACTCCACGCACACTCCTCCTCCCTCCAATGACAATGGTTAGATCACTGCCAGTTTTTTTATACTGGGAGTAGATCACAGTCTCTTGGGAGTTGGACATGCTTGCTATATTCTAACTGCTGGAGGCAGGATGCTCCTGAATTTCAGTTGCAGTCTCAGGGGGGGGGGGAGGGCTCTTGCGCTCATGCCCTTCTTGTGGTCTTCTGACAGGCATCTGGTTGGCCACTGTGAGAACAGGAGGCTGGGCTAGATGGGCCACAGGCCTGATCCGGAAGGCTCTTCTTACATTCAATGAAATTATCCACACAAATAAGCAAAGATAAGGGTTTTTTTCCACTCCAGGAAGTGGGGTGGGGTTGAGTCTGTGGAGCTCTCTAGAATTTGCTCATATTGGACATATAAAATTTGGCACCTGACTTATTTGGTTTAAAAGACAGGTGGATGGGGTATAAATATTATTATTATTATTATTATTCATCCCAGCCACTGGCAAATCAGGTCTAGGAAGGTGCCAGTGGAGAAGCGGAAGGCAGAAGGAGAGTTCCTTAAGAATCCTCACCCACTGCTTTAACCCTGCAGCTCCCCACCTCCACATGAGCTGCTTTCCCATTAGACCAAATTTCATGTCTGATTTTGAAAACATGGGCCTAGAACTCGTGCTTGGGGAACAAATAGTGAGGAGACAGGGCTGGCCCACACACGAGGTGAGGTGATGCAGCTGCCTCAGGTGGCGTTTCCATGGGTATCCCCCCCCTTCCCCACCACCTCCACAGCCAGCATTGGCAGCATCCATTTCCAGTGAAATCTCTCCAAGGTCTCGCAAGATCTCTCAGAGCAATGGAAATGGGATGCACACACACTGGTGGGAGCGGAGCGATGGAGTGGGAAAATGTGTGACAATGAAAGCATTCCAGCCAGCTAGCTATGCCTTTTCAGAATATTCCATTCCCCAATTTCTTCCTGAAAAACACTTAGCATTCTGTGCCCACCAAGCATGGTCAGTAACAGCTTTTCATCTGTCCCAAACAAATCATGGGCCCTGAACCAAATTAGGCTGATCCAGGTAGATCCAAGATTTATCCAAAGTGGGTTGAGACTGCCCCAGATTGCCCCAAGCCGGGTTCAGTCCACCAGAAGGAATCCAGGGTTGTCAAATGGAGGGGACAGACCAGTTTGCGATTAGCCTTATAATAATTTTAAGTCCTGCAATGACACCTATGATAACCAACATCTGGAACAATGGGCTAAAAAACACAGCAGACTTTTCCTGGGGCAATTCCTGCTTCTGTCTAGGCTGAATTAACTGCAGATATGTTTTTGTGCTGTTGTTTTTTGCTGTACTCTACTGATTCTTTTTTGGGGAGCCAAATGGATAGAGAAAAATAAAAATAAAATAGGGTGGGAGGGAATGAGATAGGGAAACTGCCTAGTTTGAGAGGATTTTCAGCCTCTTCGTTGGTTTTTAAATAACTACACCATATATAGGACTCTCATGTTTCCCATAACTTGTTTTTTTTAACCATATTGTGCCAGTGTTAATGTCACCAATGGTGATTCAGTCATTTTTCCATTAAAGGCAGATGTTTTAATTCTAGAAATTGAGGATAATGGTATGTCAGTATACAGCATGGCCACACAAGTATTTTAATTATCATTTCAATGTTTTTAAGACTAAACCTTCAGCCTGCTTTAATATATATATTTATTTCACACAACTATAGACAACATTTTGGCCTCAATGGAGTTGCCCAGGGTGACTTACAACTGAAATCTCAGTACTACACCATTAAAACCTGAGAGCATGAATATAAGCTGAGCTGAAGCAAATAAATCAAATCCTCAAGAAGTAGGATTAATTTGTAGTAAAAAACTTGGTGGAAAACATGTATTCATTGCCCACCTAAAAGACAGCAGAGAAGGTCCAAATCTAAAGTAATTAAAATTTATCATTGCACATGTCAAGTAAATTCTGGACTTTAAAACACAATATTCAGCATCAAAATATAGACCAATTTGTCACATTGTAAAGCCAAGAAAAAGAAACTCCTGTATTACTGGTAAATAAAAATGTTAGTACCATTGCTACTTTATGTAGATAACAATAGATTAGGACCTCTAACTGCTTAGGGCCAGCTTTAACAAAAAGCATTAGGAGGTATTCAGCTACATTTTACTCAGGGTACACCCAATGAAATTAATGAACATTAACTTCAATGAATCTACTTTTAGTAAAACTTAGCTGAATACTATTCATAACTCTTAACTAAATGGCTGCCGAACAGGAATTTAAGTTATCCCATAAGAAGTGAAAGAGAAAATATTATTTTAGCACAGCGCTAAAAGTGTATTTCCTGAGTATATTATTTTGGAGTCTCTTCTCTGCATTTCTTCCACTGCCTGTATTATCCTACTCTCCCATTAATTGTGTATTGGAGAATGGTTTGAGAAGTATTTTGATTTTCTTTTAGTTTTCATCCATGTTCATAGATAGGTAATCCAGTGAAATTAACAGGTACAAATTCAGACTAATGCAAGGAAAGTATGTGTTCAAGCTGTTCATACTAACCTGTATTAATGCTGCAGTGGCCGCTCATCTTCTAAGTATTCAATACCTTGATCTGTGATACCTACAAGCAGCATCTCCATACTCAGAACCAGGCAGATGTTTGGAATGAGCAACAGAGGCTGGCTGAGGACTATATGACATTAATTAATTGCACAAATGTGATTTTAATTGGTGTGCACATTTATTCTGCGTAAATTGTAGCAACAGAAAGGGAAGCCTGTGTAGACTCAGGACATTGAAGGGTTAGGAGGAAGAATTTAACTCCTGCCATGGTCCCCCCCCCCCAATTGCCCCTCTGAAGCTACACAAAACTTTGAGATAGGATAGGCTGAGAGACTGTGATCCAAGGTGAGCTTCATGGCTGAGTTGGAATTTGAACCCTGGTTTCCAAGGTCCTAGTTCAACACACTAAAATCATTATCATCCGCTGCTACTAATGTCCATTTGGTTTCAGTTAAGCTACTCTGACATGTCTTAGTTAGATACAACCCACAATTTGGAATTTGCTGTCTCAACATGATTTGAAGCTGGGGGAGGGGGAGAGAGGGGAATATCTGGAATATTTCCACCATTGACAATTACTAGTCCTCCCTGAACTGTCAAATACTCCCAGAACCTTTATAGGAAATGAGGCAATTCTAAAGTTGTGAGACTTCCTGGCATGCAGTAGGAGCCCTAGAGCAACATGACAATATTAAAAGAATAAGCACTTGATCAAATATACATTTAACTCTTAAATCATTAAAGAGCAACATAACCAATTCCACAGCAATGTCAAATGTTTACAAGGTCATACTTCCCCCAAAATTCTTAATTTAAGATCAGATTTACTATACTTACTCAAATAGGACATTTTTGTCAATTTGAACAGTAGAGTGCCTGGTATCTGGTGGGCAATCTCATCCTATATTTCCAGACTTTGGCTGCAGACCAAATCACCTGTCAGGAGAGCTATGAGATTCAGGTGAGGGTCAGATGCCTTGTCAATCCCAGCAGGTATATAAAAGGACGACCCGGCCTGCAGCCTGCCCAGGCCTCTGCCCATTATTGCAAAAGTTTCAGTGTTGATTTTATGCATTTTTTAAAATCACCATGGTATTTAACAATAATATGCCTAATGTGTAACAATGTAGGTCCATCACATTGTGTTGACCTGCAACCAGTCAAATATCACTGCATGTTCTATGTGTTTTCCAAAAGAGGAACCAAATGGAGAAAGTAAGTACTAGGAAGGTTTTCAGGCGGGAGGAGGGAAGTCAATAAGGAGGAATTTGGATGTAAAAAAGATGTTTTGGATGTATAATTTGTTATGGAAAAAGAAAAAAAATATTAAAAAACAAAAAACAAAAGAGGAACCAAATGTTATCAACATTGCCCTAGATACTTTATGCCATAAAGTCTGTGGCAGCAGTGGAGAACTTGTGGCCCTTTGTATGCTTCTGGACTGAATTTCCCATCACTCCTGGTTATTGGTCATAGTGGCTGGGTCAGATGAGAGTTGGAGCCCAACAACATTTGGAGGGCCACAGATTCACCACTCATGATCTGCAATATACACACCTATGCCAAAAAAGTGTGCACAGAATATATTTAGAGCATGTTATACTATAAGGCATCCCTGCATTGAGAACACGCTTTGAAAAGCCCTATGCTATTCATTAAGCAAAGCAGATTTAAGTTTGCCAAAGCCAGGACAGAGGAACAGATGTCTAATTGGGTTGTTGGCATCTAGACTGCGAAGGGATGATATTTTATGGGGGTAATTGTATATGAAAATCATAAAAGTAACAGTTTGGCTGCACATTCTTCTATGTGTTTTGGTGTTGATTTGTTCAGAGGTCACGGAAGTGAGGCTGCCAGACTACTGTTGCACAGATGAGCCTTTCTGGCTGTATTTTGCAAATGTGTTGCTAAGTGCACTGGGTTTTCTCCTGTTTTCCTTTACTGCCTGGGAATCTGCCCAGTTCTATATCACACATGCCATAACATCTTGGCAACAGCTATAGATAGGGGCTGCTTGTGCCTCTGTACATATACCGTGTAGGGAACCTTAAATGATGTATCTGAGCTTTACTTCCATTTTCCAATGTGCTTTTGATATATGTGTAAATATATATATATTCTGTGCTATACTGAAGAACGCTATCAAATAAGCCATGTGCTTCATCCTGACTCTAGCTCAGTTGGTAGAGCATAAGCATTTTAAGCATCTTAATCTCAGGGTTGTTGGTACGAGCCCCATGTTGGGTAAAAAGATTCTTGCATTGCAGGGAGTTAGACTGCCTAACCACTGTGGTCTATTCCAACTCTTCAACTCCATGATTCTATGACTCTGCCTTGCCCTAGCCCAGGCTTCCTCAGCCTTGGCCCTCCAGATGTTTTGAGACTACAATTTGAGACTACAATTCCCATCATCCCTGACCACTGGTCCTGCCAGTTTGAGGCCAAAAACATCTGGAGGGCCGAGGTTGAGGAAGTCTGCCCTAGCCTATCCCTTTAAAATACTCAAGTTTTCTAGACATCCATCATGTCCAAATGGAGATGTCACAGCGCTACTGTTGAGCTTCCCAAAAGATGTTAACAGCACCTTCCAGACTACCCATAGACTCTCTGATTGGCTACTTGGAGCCACCAGTCAACCAGAGCCCTTACAAATGGAATGGGGGATTCATTACTGTGCTATTACAAACATTCTGTCTGCACAAGTATATCAGCTTTGCTAGGTAGAGAAATTGCCCCTCCTCTCCCCCTGCATGCTTCTTCTGGGGGATCTCCCAGCTCACTCAGTACCAGTTTGAGGGGGGGCATGGTGGGAGGAGAAAGGAGAAGCCCCATTGTGCATGCAGAAGCCCATTGCACAAGCTTCCATTGTTGGGGTTAATTAGGTGAATCCCACCCATGGTTTATTTCAATAAGTGAAGAATGTAGCACAACTGCAGCATCACTCAGTAAGGAATTCAAGTACAAGCCAAATTTCTTCCCTTTATTTTCTGCTTCCTGTGTTGTTAGACTGCATCACCCAGCAAACATACATTATGCTATATGTGTGGGAGAAGGAAGTGGTGCACCACTATGCAAAGGGAATTGTGATTGTGTGAAGCAGACTTGGGAGTCTTTGCCTACCACCAAAGTCTCTGTGCCCAACACTGAAGTCTTAAATCCAAGCAGTGCATCATGGGAAAATGTAAACTGTAACCAACTTTTTAGCTTTAGTTGAAACTCGGGGCGGGGGGGAGTTTCCTTGCTTCAGCTTGTTATCTTGCCTGCCATTTGAAATGGCTCCATTTACAACAGTGGATAAGGTAAAAGTGCCAAGTTAAAGTAGGCTTTGTGATCCATTTTGTTTGACAGGACAGTCAAATGAGTAGAAGGCTAAAAATTAAAGATTAACCGGTGTCCTTAGATTACATATTTTACTACCTTGAACCAAGGCTATAAATTCCTTTACTTCATATTGAGCCACATTGAAGCTGAATAATTTCCTGTCTATAAAAATCATTGCTTTGTATGGTTTATTAGAAAGAAGAACAAACATTTTCACCATTTCTGTTTAGGTTGGAAATAAACCATTAGTGCCTTTAAAAGATCCAGGGCCAATTTTTTAATTTCCACTGACAGGACAGGAGGACACTGAGTGCATGAGTTTGCAATCCTACATTTACTTATCTGGGCATAAGTTCCACTGAACGTAATAGCCTTTATTTCTGTGGAGACATGTATAAGAATATATTTTATCTATAAGGAAAGCTGAGTTGCCTCATAAACTGTGCTCATCATGATATGTCGTGTGATGCAAAATTACATGCATCCCTGTTGAATTCCATCCTTTCTTTGATTTGCTGAAGGAGCCCTTGGAGACTTAGAAAACAACAAACATTTCTGTTTATAACACTATGTAGTTTGTACACATCACAGAAGTAGGTGTAGAAGCTTTGACCTCTGAAGAATCACAACCAGCCAACCCCAACAGCCATACCTTCTACATGGTGTCCCCACACTCTTACAAAAACCACACCACGAAGTGTGATCCCAGAGTCCCTCATGCAGCTCGCAACAGAGCCCATCCTCTTGCCTTCTCCATAGTCTCCAAGTAACCTTCCAGGGTAGGCTTTTAGTTTTCATTTCTCAACTTCTGCAGCCTGGACTAAGCATTCTGGGAGGCACAAGGCCCACTGATACTTTCAGCAACAGTTTGGGAAATAGCAGAGTGGCCAGTTATTTAAGAATGAAACAGAAACACCCAATGCTCACGACCCTTGCATGGGCACTAAACAATTTTTGGATGCTGACAAACTTGCAGAATGAATGCTGTATGTCAGGGATGGAAAACCTTTGACCTTCCAGATGCTTTTAGGCTCCAACTCCCATCATCCCTGGTCATTGGCCATGTAGGCTGGGGCTGACAGGAGCTGGAATCAAACAATATCTGGAGGACCAGTTTTCTCATTCCTGCTCTAGTTCAATGTGAAGGATTCTGCATGGTTAATAAAGCAGAATCTTTCTTTCTTTCTTTCTTTCTTTCTTTCTTTCTTTCTTTCTTTCTTTCTTTCTTTTCCTGAGCCAATGAACTCAGCCACGAAGCTCACAGGGTTACCTTAGGCCAATCACTTTCATATTGCCTAAGCTCCTACACAGGATTGTTGTGAGGACAACATGAATGAGGGGAAGAAGGACCCTAGGTTTATTGGAAAGGGCAGGATAGAAATGCCACAAATAATAAGAATTTCTCTATTTCTTAAGGCCAGTGAGGACACAGTAAAAGAGTCACATCTGGACCATCCAAAGCATCGTCTTCTGCTTCTGTTGACTTAACCCTCTTCAGTACAAACAGGCACTGCTGGAAAATAAAGTTCCTCAAATATCCTTTCATTTATCACAGTTTTGGTCTCTTTCACAGATCATTACACAGATCAACTGGGACCATTACTTTCAATCAGCCTCCATAAAAGGGGCTGTTGTGTGTCCAATTATGTTGTTTAAATATGCACGGACCATGATACCGGATGGGGGAAAGTGCTCGCGTCATGTCATGCCATCCAGTGGGGGATGCCAGAAAAATGGTTTCTTCTGCTGTCTTTAATGTGGAGGGAAACATGACCGAATCAGATTGCAAACACTGAGCATTTTTGACATTTCAATATTTTCATAACAGGAACACATGACAGCTCTTCAAACAAGCCTGTTTTCTTATTTTCACAAGGCCCTCCATTAACTCGTGTTGTTTAGATTGGTAATGCTCGCAGTGGATAAACGTCCTCAGCACATGGCATGTGAAAACAAATAACGTTACACGTGAGATTTGCATTTCCTCCATCAGCTCTGGAAACTCAAAGGCATTTTAGAAGGAGATGCTATAGGCAAGGCACTAATATAAATGCCGGGGGATTTGGTGGCGGCCAAATGTTCAGCTGCCTGATTGCCACATAGGGACTGGAAACTCAGAAATGCTTTGGACATAGGGTCGCCGCTTATGCATCACCCCAAAAGAGGACAAAGAACATGCCTATCTACATAATATTTGCCTGCGCTGATCCATATGGAGAGAGGCACATGGAGAAATAATTCCTGTAATGGAAACAGAAATGCATCACACCAGTGAGGAACACAATGATCCGGTGAGTTGGGTGCCTGCTCTGTCCAGGTGCCGATGGACAGTTCTTTATTTTTAAACTGGACTTGGACCAGGCAGCCCTACAAAGACAACAGAAGTGAGAATAATTTGCAGCCCAAGGACCTGCCTTTGGGGTGGGGATACTACAGGTGGGCAAGGTGACAGACAAAAAAGTGAGTGGGGCTGAATGTAATAGTGGGCAGAGCAATAGTGGTGGTTTTTGCCTCTGTATAGCAGGCCACAGTCCAGCCACTCAAAAGTATGAGGTTTCTGCATTCGCCAGAGAGAGAGAGAGAGAGAGAGAGAGAGAGAGAGAGAGCCCTCTGTCCTCTATCATCACTCAAGAAGGGTGCAGAGCAGGCGAAAGGCATGGCCTGGGGAGAGGTGTCCTGCTGTGGGGCGCTGGGATGTTATAGGACAGTCCCATGGGTCTGATAAAGGAGGGTGGAGGGCCACACATGGTCCTGAAGTTTCCCACCGCTGAAATAGAGGATCTCTTCAAACAGACAACTGCCCTCTGACAGTCCTTCAAGTGGAGGGTTGTTCTCTGTAAAATAGGACACCAAGCTACCCTATTTACATAGTTGTTCTGCTCTAATCCTCACAGTAGCTGGCTGAACTACTCTGACCCTAGATAGGGGCAGAGGAAGCAGAAGATCCTAGGGTATGATGAGTGGTAGAGGAAGAAGCAGCCCAGGGCATTGCTTGTCCCACTGCATCCTATCTTCAATTGTTCGATTGGAAGCAATTGCTTTGCCAACTTTTGGGTGCTGCTTCTGGTGCAACATTTAATCCATTTGGCAGTTTAATTTAATTTATTATTAATATAATATAATATAATATAATATAATATAATATAATACATAAATTTATTTTTAATATATAAATATATATTATTATAATAATATATATAAATATATAATAAATTATTGTTTATTTATAATTTATAATTTATTTATTTAATCTATGGCGGTTTGACCTCAGTTGCAACCTTCTCCAGATTTAAGACTTTGAAACCTAAAGGAAGCTTTAAAGTTGGAAGGTGATGAGAAATGCTACCATAGATTTCTATAGATGGATGGGAAATTGGAATGAGGGGACAGTCTTGGAATTGCCAAATGACATGGAGGGAAATGGCTGGCATGCTCATGTCCCTTTATCAATAGTTTAATCTGCAGGCATTAGCAGATTAGGCTTTTCATAGGATGGACTAGAGAGAACCTTCTCACCTCCTAATGGTTGCAAACCAAATGGCTGGTCAAGGAAGCATCTAGAGCATCTGAGTTAAAAGTTGGCAGCCCTAAAAAGAGTTCGTAAATAATAATACTAAACAACCCACAGCCAAAGCTATGGACTTTTGCTATTGTCTGTTGTTGTTTTTAACACTATCTGTTTTAAATAAAGATCTATTTTTATATGAAATGGTAACAGACATAACAATGTGCTTCCTCACAACATTCTTCTAAGAATGCAGACACATAAACACATACGTATACACAGAGTAGTTATGTATTTTTTCATGCTCAGAAGAAAAACAAACCGTTGAGTACTGTTACCTACAACATGATACTCTCCTCTTAAGAATCCAGCCAAGAAAAATATTATCCCAACTAGTTTGTTATGAAAATGTTTGAATAAAA